GACCTTCTTTCAAAATGAAGTGAATTTTACCTCCTTATTCTCAGGAGAGATCTGTAGAGCCTGTTAACACAAGGTCAGGTTTCATGAGACATCTTACAACGTTTGTCATACTGTGATTCATTAGTTCACTGTGGTTTTGGTTGAAGACAGTTTTTGTTTTGTTTTTTTGAGACAGGGTTTCTGGGTGTAGCCCTGGGTCCTAGAACTCACTCTGTAGACCAGGCTGGCCTTGAACTCAGAAATCCACCTGCCTCTGCCTTCCAAGTGCTGGCATAAAAGGTGTGTGTCACCACATGCCCAATCCCCTCTTCATTTTTTTTTTTTTTTGTTTGTTTTGTTTTTTGAGACAGAGTTTCTCTGTGTAGCTTTGGAGCCTATCCTGGCACTCGCTCTTGTAGACCAGGTTGATCTCGAACTCACAGACATCTGCCTGCCTCTGCCTCCCGAGTGCTGGGACTAAAGGCGGGCGCCACCAAGCCTGGCTCCCCTCTTCATTTTTTAAAAGATTTATTCATGTATTTTATGCATGAGTGCTCTGTCTGCAGGTACACCTGCAGGCCAGAAGAGGGCACCAGATCTCAGTCAAGGTGGTTGTGAGCCACCATGTGGTTGCTGGGAATTGAACTCAGGACCTCTGGAAGAGCAGTCAGTGCTCTTAACTATTGAGCCATCTCACCCCCTCCTCATTTTTTAAGGCCTAGTTCTTTTTACTTTATGTGTAAGTGCCTATGTCTATGGGTCATATTGACGCAGTAGCCACAGAGGCTAGAACAGGGTGTCAAATTGCCTGGAGCTGGAGTTAGCCCTATTAGCCACCAAGTGGATGCTGGACCCAGTCTCCGTATTAAAAAAAAAAAAATCAAATAAAGTGCTATAAAATTAAAACAATGGCCGGGCAGTGGTGGCGCACGCCTTTAATCCCAGCACTCGGGATTCAGAGGCAGGCAGATGTCTGTGAGTACGAGACCAGCCTGGTCTACAGAGCGAGTGCCAGGACAGCCTCCAAAGCCACAGAGAAACCCTGTCTCGAAAAACAAAAACAAACAAAAAAAAATTAAACTAATGGCGTGAGGCCCAGTGAGACATGCTTGTAATTCCAGCACTTGGGTGGCTTAGTTGGGTGGCTGTGCCAAGAGCTGGAGGCCAGCCAGGGCTCCATCGTGAGTGACCTTGTCCCCAAAAAAGCTAAGCAATAAGAAATTTAAGATTGCATAATGTGTAACAGGTTCTCCAGTGAAGGATGAATCCAAACTTTGCAATAAAGACAACAGCCAGCAGAAACAGCCTGTGTGGATGAGGCCCAAAATTGGCAGCCACTTCCCTCTGGCCCTGTGCCTTCGTTCTCACAGTCCTGAGAACTGAGATGCAAGCCATGCCCACATGCCACAAACCTCTAGATTCAGAGCCCTGAGCTGTAGCGCAGTCAAGTCCCATCCTAAAGCCTCTGGCTTCCCTTTTCCCAGAGGACAAGCGAGTGTCTGTGCACTTGTGCGCGTAAGCGTACAGGAAAGCACACGGGTGAAGATCAGGGTACCACCTCAGGTGTTGGCCGCCGCCACATTCCACCCTGGGATAAAGTCTCTTTATCTGCCACTGCACCAGCCAAGCTAGCTGCCGGGGAAACTTCTGGGGAGTCTCCCCATCTCCACCTCTCCATCTCCCAGTACGAGTTTTGTAATCACAGTTAGACGCTACTGCGTCTGGCTTTACATGGGTACTGAGGACCCTGAACTCCTCACGCTCTAGTGGCAACTACTTTACCCACTGAGCAATCCACCCAGTCCCTGGAGGACCCCTCCTCACTCCCAGGGCTGTCTCCTGGTCCTGAGCACAAGGGCCACACCGGCAGCGAGAGATATTTCCGATGGAAGAGCTGGAGGGACACGTGGCGCATGGCGAAGACCTGGCAATCGGCTGAAGGCAGCCAGAAGCCGCAGAGGGTGAAAACTGGAGGCTCAGAAAGTCTCCCAGCCTGACAGGCGTCAGACCCTCTCGCCTTGCCTCTGCACTGGAAAGAGTCTGGTCACCGCCCTCAAAACGACAGCGACGCAAATCTTCGGATCCAGAAATCTGTCCCTAAGTATTTATCTGAATAGTTTATTAATCACAGGACTCTCTTGCCAGGGCTCTGGAGATAACGTGTCAAGCATAAATACAGACAGGCCCAGACTATGGACACTTGCAGCCTGGACACCTGGTGATGCAGGATGCCTTACACAAACCTTTGGAGATGCCTAGTGACCCACGGTACTTTATTCATTCTCTTCTAGGTGGCCACGTAGCTACAGCAGATAGCTTCTCACGTAGTCAAGGCTGGCCTCGGACTCATGTCAGCCCTCCTGAGTTAGCTGTTTAAATGCTGGGATTACAGGTAGAGAGTCACCGTGCTGCGATAATACTTTCCCTTTTCTTTTTCTTTTCCACTGTGTCACGAAGGACGACCCTGGACTTTGGATCCTCCAGCCTATACCCCCCACCCGAGTGTTGGAATTATAAACCTGCATCGCCACACACAGTTTAAACATTCAGTGCTAGGGATCAGGCTCAACACTGCCACAGAATCTTGCTAAATTGCCCAGGGGGCCTGGAATTCAATTTTCAATTCTCCTGCTGCTTCCAAAGTGGCTGGAATTACACACAAAAAAAAAGCAGAGCTCAGGAAAGTGAAAACTTGGTGTGGAAGTGAAAACTTGGTGTGGAATACTCCCATCTGTGACTCCCCCCGCCCCACAAAAAAAAAACTGGCAAATGCAGGTTTTTATTTTTCTTAAAAATTTCCATTTATCCCTGGGCAGTGGTGTCGCACGCCTTTAATCCCAGCACTCAGGAGGCAGAGGCAGGCGGATCTCTGTGAGTTCGAGGCCAGCCTGGTCTCCAGAGCGAGTGCCAGGACAGGCTCCAAAGCTACACAGGGAAACCCTGTCCGGAAAAACAAAAAAAGCGAAACAACCAAACCAAAACAAAATTTCCATTTATTTATTTAGTTTGTATATGGGAGCGGGTGCCCCTGTGAAGAAAATCTGACAATGGCTGTGTCCTCTGTTTTTAATTAATTAATTAATTGACTAATTAACGGATGGCAGG